TACTTCTTGTGTGGATTCAGGAAGCACTGCCTTTGCTGGGCCTTCTTTTAATGGGGTCTATGAGGAGGACCACCTCAGGTCTGATGAAGAGGCAGCTAAGCTGTGGAGCAGAATGTACCGGTCTTATAACAGCTACATAAGGATATCTGCCATTTTCAGAGAGACACAAACAACATTTTTATCTGTAACACTGAAGTAGAGAAGAGCTGAACACAACAGACTTTTTCTTTCTATAAAAAACGCATTGCAGAACATCTGGTTGTCTAAGGAGGCTAACAAAGCAGCTGCCCAAAACTCCCAGGAACCATTAATTTGAAACTAATGGACTAACAAGGCTTATACTTGTATAATTACACCACATTATGTTTTTTTTCAGTTGTTTTATAGTTTAGGACAATAGTTTATTGCCCTGGGAGGAGGGCAATGAACCAATGTAATATCAATTCTTACAGTCCACTATACAATACAGAATTTAAGTTACTTTTTAAATTCTTCAAAATTTAGAAGGATTGGATCCCATAAAACAGGGGAATTACATTTAAATGTTCTCGGTCAGTTGTTCAATATGAATTACCACTCAAATATACTTATCAAGGCATATACAAAGCAATATAATATTTACCTAGATATCCTATGTGCTTGTCTGTCATGTATTTGTTAGAGGTTATGTCACTGCTCTGCCTTTGGAGGACATAAACACTCCTGAACCATATATAGATCAGAGACGAGGAGGAATGCAAGCGTCTTGCGTTACCCTGTAGATGTTATGTAGAGTATTCGTGTAAAAGTTTTATTACTCAGAGAGAAAATTGTTTAGAGAGATCAGGGTGGTCAGCTCTCTTTGAACTAATAATGCTGTGAGACCAAAAACGTTTTTACAAGCCTATTTTAATTCCATCTCCCGTTAAGCCACAAAAAAGGTCTCCAAGCACAAAGAAAGTACAGTTTATTTATAAGAGGTCTTTCAGTGATAAAATAATCACAAACTTCTGTGCAGAAAACCAATAAAAAACTATTAAGTGCTAATAAAAAACAAGATAAAATAACTTTCATGACCCATGAAAGTCTTTGGTTGTGTTTGTTTTGTTCTTGTTTTTCACCTCTTTCCTTAATATGTTCCTTTGTTTCTGGTTTCTTCCTGTTAATCTTTAATTTAGGGTTTTCCATATTAGTTAATTTTCTCTGCTCCCTTTTGCCAGGTGTTTTAGATGATATTCATGTTTGTTGCGATCGGATCATGCCATTGTTTTCATATGTATTTACTCTGTTGTAGTGGATGGACCCTGTCAGTTCTTTCTTGGGTTTCAATTCGCCTGTGTCTGCTTGCACAGCCTGTTGCCTGCACCTGTTCTCTGTTCTTTTTATGTCGTCAGTTTAATTTGTCTTTCAGTTCTTTATTTTACCCTCTGTCTCAAAGTATTGCTTTTCTTCTCTGTTTTCTGCAAGTTTATTATTTTCTGTTTAAACTTTTCACCTCCGGAGTATTTGACGCTTTGGTCCATAACATCAAGCCATGAAAACAACACTAAAGAAAATTCAACAGAGAGTCTTTAAGATTAAGAAAGCTATAAAGTCCAAAATTTCCATTAAAAGCAGGTGTAAAAGGTAGATTGTTCTTCAGTCAGTGCCACAGACTGAAAGCCTCAATCTCCTTTGTTCTAAAGTGTGATGCAGTGGAGAACAACAGCGGTTTATCTTGTGAGAAGATTGGAAAAGTAATTGCTGGCCTGGCTGTTAAGGGCTCTGAGTGTTAATGTGAGAAAAGAAAAATACTAAAATGTATTTGTAGCCATTGTGAAAAAGGATTTGTGAGCTTACTTTCTCAAACATATCATCAGTCAAGTTTAGAGAAGAGTTATGCAATTGATTGGAAATCTGAGAAATATATGCATGTGCATGCAATGTGTTTTAGGTGATGGAGATTTTGTGTGTCTGTGTGTTAGTGTGTAACCCTACCCCTCTGATGTAATGTGCTTACTGCTACAGTTTGCTGTCCTTCCTTACTGTCCCTGAACCTAACCTCTAGATGTGACAGGCGACCAGAAGATACAGGCGTGTCTGTTTTCTGTGTATTTTCAATAAACATTTAGAATATAAGTGAGAGCATGAGGCTGAAATAAAAGCAGGTTATATGTTAAAATGGTCTTAAAAACTGCAGCTGGATCCTGACATATCGAACAGGACACTCATTTCATTACTGTTTGGTTTACACACTTCAAGCAACTTATCTCTAAAATGTCATTATTATCTGTTTCTGTTTATCTACGATTAAACCCAATAACACATTTGCTTCCCGCTGTGTACCTTTGACCAGGCAGAGCGGAGCTCAGCCATCGTCTACATCAGAATTAGACTGACATTTACTCGACATTGCACCACGCGTCAGTTTCACCTTGGCCCTCGTCTCCTGCTCCTCTGCTCAGCACTTGCCTTCCTCTTTAAAATGACACTTGCAAGCACATTTCGGATATCTGATCTGAATCTACACCTTAACTGGCACAGAGGAGGAATTGACACATGGGAAGTTTGAACTTCCACAGTATCTTACAGTGGGAACAGTGTTAATTCGGATCCCGTGGGTGTATTTGTTGATAATGCTTGTTTTTTAGATTAACTTAGATTCCTGCTTCATGTTCTGCTTTTCAAAGTTAATTAAAGTTGCATCCATTTTCATGTTGAATAGACCATTTCAAATAGATTAAGTTTATTTAGTGGGATCTTTTGAGTATGGTTTTAGTGGCTTGACATCCTCCTGCTTCTCTACAGCCCCTAGTCTGCAATCCTTATTTCCTTTGATCTTCCATGCATTGCTGGGTTTTCCCTCCTCTGTCCTGCCCCTCCTTCCCCTCACATTCTCTCTTTCTCTCCCTCTGCCTCCCCTTCCACAGTTGTCCTCACATATTAGGTTCCCAAGTCCTAAGAAGCAGAATTAGCCTGGAATCTTGTGCACTTGTTTCCTTCAATCCCAGGAAGGAGGTGATAGCATGAAGGCAAAACAAGGGGGGACACAACCAGACCCGTAAAGGGATTGAAATTTAAAAAACGGAGGATAAATTGGGTAAAAGGGAGATAGGGAAGATGAACATGCATATGCTTGTTGTTTGATGCGGCTTCGCTGAAGGCATGTGGCTGCCTGCACTGAGCATTTCCCTCCACGTTCTCCAGCTGACTGGTGGAAGATCTGCATTCATGTGGCTGAGCGCTACATGATTTATCTCCCCAAAATAACGTGAGAAATCTTCCTTCGCTCCACTCGACGCAGACGTATCTATACAACTATAAGCTGGCTGATGCACTGACCTCGGGCTTTTGGTGAACGGATCTAAATCAGTTTGAACAACGTTAAGGACTGAGACAGCCAATGTGGGGCTCAGGTAAGGATAATCTGCGCTCTGAGAAATAGGAAGAAAAAGCACCTACAGGTTGGAGTAACTGTCCATCTATCACTTCAAATACAACCGAGAGGACAGATCAGCTGGGGTCCTCTTATAATAGCTTTTTTTTAAACACAACCACAGAGCCAGTGACATTGAATTCACGCGATGAAGATGTTTATGTTTAAATAAAAGTTAGGGCAATCAGCATCACATGACACAAGCCTGTCCACGTAATCCTGTTCTAATGAAGGGGTATGACGCAGTGAACGGAGCGATGGGCAAAAGGAGGGGGATACAGGGAAGAAGAGAGGAAAGTTTCAGTACTTGCTTCAAGTTATTTATTGGTAATGAGAGAGTCATGCTGTCGGAATGCTTTTTTTTAATGTTGGTCAAAAGCTGAGGGAAACATTTAGTCACATCTTTGATGTAGTCTTTTGGATCAAAGTGTATCATTTGTAAAATGTCCTAGTCAAAGTACTGTTTTGTAAAGATGTTTTAAGGCTTGGAAACTCATGTGCACTGACTAACATTTATTAGTCTAAATAAGTGTAAACTATTTGGAAAGGGCAACACTGCCATCTTCTAGACAAGTGAAGCTGTTACATACTCTTAAAAACCTCCAGCTCTAATGGTAGCAAAATTTTATCCTAAAAATGTTTGACTTTGCAAGGGTGAATACAAAGTAGGGCAACAAAAAATAGATGAATAATTAGAGATTTGATTATATTCTGCCTGATAAAGGTATTGGTTGGCTAAAATCTAAAACCCAACGGAAATAGGGATATCAGTCTCTGTTATCAGTTTGTAAAATAACAAAACAAAACAAAACAGATTCTGATGAAACATATTTGGATTTAAAAAGAAAAAGAAAGCAGGGCTGAGTTCTTAGAAGACTTAGAATGTGAAAAAGTTATTATACTGGTGAAGATTCTCGGTCATCTAGGTCACAGTCATGTCCATTCCAAAAAAAGTAAAAAAAAATATCCACTGGACTTTGTTTCCAAGTTTGAAGATGTTTCACCTCCCATCCAGGAATCTTTTTCAGTTCAAAAAGTTATTATGTATTTTTTAAATGTCAGGTGTATTTTTTGTTTTCATGAAAATCTCTTATTCAACAGTATTGTGTGTAGTCAGAAGCATGGAAATCAAAAATATTGCAACTAATGTTCACTTATAGAAGGAGAGGTGATTGACTTGTTAAATGGCTTTGTTTTTAATCCAATTAATTTATATTCTGTGTATCTATTTCTTGCATTTCCAGTTTTATGTTGTTATTACACAGAATTAAACAGAATTCAAAAGCACTTAAAAATATTTTCTCAAATTATTTTTTGGGGAAAAGAGGTTAAGGTCTTAAACAAATAAATCCAAAGTCTTTCATCCAAAATTTCAACCCAGTGTCCTTGTTGGTCTTTATGTATCGTCTTGATCTTCTTCACTAATGTAAAAAACACTTCCTGTTTAATCATTTCATTTTCTGCTTTGTTTACTTAATTTCAGTACAACCGTGGCTAAAAGAAAAGTACCGTAGACCCTTTATATTTATCAGTCAATTATAAAAAAATGATCTTTATTTAAAGTAACTTCATTTAAATCTTACCTCAGGTGTATGCAATATAATTACAAATTACATGCTGTCATTATTTATTAAACAAAAAAACTCATATAAAAGATAACAGGAATGCTAAATTGATTGATCAACCCTTGTATCTATTAATCTATCTTTAGGAGTATGATCCATGTTTGGGATGCATTTAAATGTCCCAATCCACTCAGTCTTTATGTACTCATAAGTTCATAAGTTGAAATGTTTTATATGCAGCCTACAATTGTGTATGTATGTTCAATGGTTTTATTTTACATGATTTTTGTCTTTCATCACCAATTATCCAATCTTTTCAAGAGTTTAAACAAACAAATGCCAATATCTGATTAAATGAAACACACAAGTTGTTAGGACAGCTTAAAACCTAAAATAAACTTGAACTGTTATTCAGTTTTTCTTTACCTCAGAAAATGAAAATACAAAAGACTAAAACCTGCTTGTTACATGAGAAATGTTAAGCAGGTCATGTTAGAGATGAGGTACTTTAACCTGTTGGTAACTGACAATAATTCTTGCTTAAGGCTGTTTCTTTGGAAGTTACACATCAAATGAAGAAATCATATAATTTTGGCTGGACTCTCATCAGGAATCACTGCTAACAGCCAAAGCTAAATTTAGCTTAACAAGACTGTTGACACAGTTATAGCCTCTTGGGGCAGATTGAGGAAATGAAAGGACGGCAGGGGTTATAATAACGTAATCCTGACTGCGCAGCTCAGGGCAAGATGTATTTATTACATTCTGATCTTGAATGTTTGGATATTGTTTAACATATAGTACTACTGTCCAAACCACCCAAATAAATCTTTACACATTACTATGTACATTCCTTTTACATGACTGTGACAGCCACATTTTCACAATGTCCTTAGAATCAGAAGTGTTAGAAATAGTATATGATATGAAAAGTTTTTGTCCTCTTTGATATTTTTTCAGTTTGTTATTTGTTAGACCTAAATCTTTGATATTTTTTTTCAGTTTGTTATTTGTTAGACCTAAATATTTGAAAAAACAAAACAATCAGTCAAAGATCAGCTGAGTAAATAATGATTTAGTAATTACATTTCTACTAATTGTATTCATAAATCATCATAAAATCACAACAATATCAAGAATCCTATAATACCTCCAGTATACAATCGCATGTTCTTGTAATATATTGGTATCACAAATACATTGGTGCTTTCCTTTGTGCATCAAAATGATGAGTTGTTTAGATTTTCAGTAAAATACCTAGAGCCTTAGAAAAAACAGAGGTGGGTAGAGTAACCAAATATTGTACTCAAGTAAGAATAGCCCTACTTCATAATATTTTTACTCAAATAAAAGTTAAAAGTAACCATCAAATAAATTACTAAAATAAGAGTAACAGAGGACCCAGTATTCAAGGCAAGAAAGACAGTGGGATTAATCAAAAGCGTTTTAAACGAACTGAAGAAACTGCGGCTAGGGCGTCTATGGCAGGAATCTCTGCAGAAAGGAAATACAGGTTAGGGAACACATACTTCAAATGGAGGAAGATTATGAGAGTGAGTCGATAACCTGGTTTACTAGTTCACTGTCATGATGGGTCTCTGTGATTAAACCCACATGCAGAACACCCCAGGAGACTGAGTAAAAGTTCAACAGTTTATTTGGATTAACACACACAAAGTAAATAGTTTGTACAGGTTCTGGTTCAGGTCCGGGACTGGATTCACAGAGTTATCTGCAGAGAGGGATTGTTTGGTTAGCCAGCTAGCAAAGATGACTTGGCAGAGTTTGTTTCTGAGTTGTACCTGATGAGGTTCAGACTGATCGGTGGAGAGAGGGAACCGGTTGGGTCCAGAGACTGTGGGTTCAGCAGAGAGCTTAGCAGCGGCAGAGCTTAGCTTCAGGCTAGCGAGATTCAGACCTTGAATTGTACTCCAAGTTCTCTCCTGAGAACAAGTGAGGAGATTTAGACTGAGGATCTTCAGGTTTGGCTTCTCTGGGCAGGCAGGCAGGCAGGTTTCCAAACATGAGCTCCACCTGAGCTGCAGACTTCGATCAGGTTTCCTATGAGGCAGAGAAGACAGAGGCAGATTAGAATCAGGGTTACTTTCTTGAGCAGACAGAGATTCTATGGTCAGGCTGAGGCTCAGGTTCTGCTAACCAAAACTGGTCAACACTCCGGCACTGAAGAGAAGTCAAGCCGCTGCTTAAGTAGCTGATCTCCTGATGAGATGAATCAGCCTCAGGTGTGCAGGTGGCTTCAGCTCAGGAGACCCAGGGCGCTCTCTGCTGGAGAAAGGTGGCAGATCCCAACATTCACTCCATGCCCAGAGAATGAGGTTGATACCAACTGGTCAGTTGACAAGAACCAGTGGTTGCCGAACACAGACTTCAAGACGCTGAAGCCTAGAAGACTACAGAACTAGGAAGAGATCAGATCCAAGCAGAAGAAGGAAGACAGGATAATCCAGAGGGCTAAATCCATGTGGAGGACGTCCTTAGGATTCAGAAGCAGAGGTCCGAAGAGGTTTTAAAGGAAAATCCTGGTCTGTGAGAGGAATCAGTGCCATGTTAGGTTAACAGGCAGAATTCAGCAGGAGTCCGAAGACAGTTCAGGCAAACACATCAGAATCAGAATACAAACAGGCATGCTAGAAAACTCTCACTTAAGGCTCAAATAATCTGTCCTGAAGACTGGAAAATGGCAGGTTACAACAGATCAGACAGGAACAGAAGGGCTAAATGGTTGAGAGGCAGACCAGGAAATCAGAAACACTAAGGTAACACTGGCCCACTCTCCCCACTGGCTCAAGAGAAATAATCTGGTACTGGTGACTGGTAGCAAGCAGCTTAAATAGAGGCAGGAGCAGGTGGATCGGATGAGCAGTAATGAGATACCGGGCAGAGTTAGAAAGGTGAATGAAATGAGGAATTAAGCCAGTCATTAGTGCCAAGATCATGATACTAACTGGGAAAAAGGCTACTTATGTACTGAGTAACTGATGATAACATTGATTTAATGTTATCAACATTATGTATATTTAAAAGACATACAGTTATAAGCAAATTTTAAAAATGATATAGAAATAAATGTATAATATTCAATACTTAAACAGTAATTTCAAGTTGAAGAAACAAGACATTTTTTGTTATAAAAACTCTCAAATCATTACTGATAGTATGTCATGTATGTATGTGTGAATATGATTAGTTACTTCCTGTAGCATGACACAGTGATCGACATGGCAGGATGTGCAAATAGAAAACAATGTTAAAACAAAGAAGCTGATGTTAAAAATAGAATCTCAGATATTAACTGTAGGTGTTTGTCTCTCTAGTGCAATTTTGGTAATTCATTGAGTGAAGTTACTTAGGATGATTACTCGTGTGTGTATTAATAGATGAATGACTGAATGTA